TTTTGATTATTTTTAATTGTAAAGTCCTATAATTCTAATAAAACTTTCTATATACTTCTTTTTGACTTATTCTTTGTAGTTTTATTTTTTTTAAAAAAGTACTTTAAACTGTATAAATAATATAAAATTAAATTAATTTAAACAGTCAATTATATAAAAGTCTTTCTATAACTAACATAAGTATATGCATCTTCAGATGTAAAATACTTTGAAATTAACATTCTTTCTAAACATATTCAAATTTAGAGTATTTAAATCGATTAATGTTAAACTTTGATTACTTACTTCTAACAAGATTTTGCATTCTTTTTCAAGTAATTTTTGCAATTCTTAATAACTATTTGTTGTCATAGAAAGTGAAAATGCAAGTTTTAATACTTTGGTTTCAATTGCCCAGCAAGTGCATAATTTTGATACACTAGATATTTGTCTTGCTCTCTAATTATTCTTAATCTCTGTCTTGACATGATTAGGCTTTAAAAATTTTCGAAGTATAAATGGCATTAGCATCGCAAGCCTCAACACATCGGAGAACAAGAAACTTTGATGGTATCATAAGGGATTAGGCATTCGATACCAATTGGTAGATTTCTCTACATCTTTCCAATGTTTTAGAAAAGCATTTTCATCATTTAGATTAAACACATTAAATATCACCTCTAAAAAGATACATGCTTTTCCAGCCAAAGAATAGTATACATCTTGTGGTGTTTGGATATACCGGTCCCAATTAAGTATCCTTAATGGTCCTGGCTTAACCAATCCATACTTCACTGCTAGTTGTTTCTTATCTGCTTTGGAATTTTGGCTCTCAATCTCTATAAATCATTTTTTTGTTTGCTGATGAAAACAAGCATTTTGTATATAATTATAATTAAAATTAGTATACTGATCATTTTGCATATTACATGTGTGACAGCCGTGGTTGGCGCCATGTCGCTTAACATCAGCTAAATTATTTCTTTGTAGCAGGTCAGATGTGATGCAGCCAATTTCACTTAATAGTATTAATAAAGAACCAATAAGTAACTTTTTAAATATACAATAGAACCTCCTTATATAATTATGTTATATAAAATTTTCTATATAAGCATATTTATTTTAAAACCAACTATTATAAGCATATATAAAACAGCTTCTATATAAACACAGACTCTATAAGCATCTTTCCAAAAAGTTTCTATGATCTTAATAGTATGTTTATAGAAAGGTTAGACTGCAAAGTTAACTAATATATGATCTTGATATAATATAATCATAAAATAGCATTCATATACAAGACATTATATGCTCTATTTCAAAACAAAATTCAAATCTTTTAAATCCATATTTGTAAATTTGCTATGTTTTACAATGCCTGTAGATCTTCTACACATTAGACAAAAATTTTTCTCCTAATATGACTTAATCCTAATTCTAAAGATTGTTTACACTAGATCTGTCAATCTAATTGCATAGTAATTATGAAGAGATGAAAGTTTTTTGTGAAGAGCTACCAACTATATGTTTACAGGATCATTCTGGCAACCATAAAGAGTTCTTGTAATATGACTTTTGGCACAGCCAAACAAAAATTCTACATATTAAACCACAGTCATTAGCTAAGTAAAAAATATTTCTGAATCAATTTAAACAACCAATTATCACTAAGTTTAATTTCATTTTTTAAATTCAAAAAAATTAAAAAATTAAATAAGGTTAATGGATTCCACTAAATTATATCAGCACTTTTCAGACCACCTTGGATAATCTTGTTTTATAGACATAGATATTATTTGAAACCATTTTTCAAAATAATATAGTTATATACTTAAACAAAGGCAAATAAGAATTCAAATTTAAAAATACTGACCTATAACCCATGCATTACCAAATAAAGTTTTAATAACAAGACCATTTTCTAATCATTTTAGTTTTTGAAGTATTGGTTTAATAAAATCATTGAAATTTGCTCCAAATGGAACAAATCTAATTAAGAAATAATTTTTTAGTTGCTTCTGAAGTTCCAATGGCATATTGCCAAGCTGGAGATAAACGCCACCTAATGAATGATATATATTTCTAAAAGTACCAAAATCATCAACATAGATATCAAAAAAAACTTTTAAAATAGGCAGATGTAGTGGTGAAAGCATGAGTGTAATATTTTCACAAGGTAGTCTATGCTGCATTTTTATATCATGATACCTCTATTTACTATTGAAATGATACACTATTTCTTTAATATAAAATTCATATTCTGAAGGTTCTAGCATATCACATAACCAAACATTAATGTGTCATTCTACATTTGTTGGATTGACCAAATTTGTTTCCCCTTCATTTAGCCATAATTCTTTGCCATTTTCATGAATATGACAGTTATCAGTAAAATGAATACTAGGAAGGTTTTCATGTAAAAAAATAATATCAACTTTTAATTTAAGTGAATTTTTATCAGTTTCATCAACAATTACATCACACACTTAACAAATAAATATTGAGGATTGTTCATGATGCATTAAAAAATCTCCTGCTCTATAGAACTCTAATAAAACCAAAAAAAAAAATTAATAAAATAAAAGTAAAATAAGAAGATTATATGAAATGTTAACCTTCGCCGCTTTTTATTTTATGTTTTCCAAATAATAGAGAGTCCTGCTATAGTTTACCATGCCAAAACTCTCGTTTTTTATTTGTAATTACACCAGAACCAAAATACATTTTTGGCATAAGTACAGGATTGTTTAAAACATGCTCTAAATGTATTA